TTGAGTCTAAGGTTTATTGGACCGTTTAAAGTTCTTCAGAGGATTGGGAATCAAGCTTACAAGCTAGAACTACCAAAAGAATTAGATGGTATTCATAACACTTTCCATGTGTGTTATTTGAGGAAGTTCACGGGAGATGTTCCTGACATAATTCCAATTTTTGAGTTAAGGTTGGATGTAAGCAAGAGGCTAATCAAAGAACCAGAGGCAATCATTGACCGTAAGACTAAAAAGTTGCAATGGAAGATGGCCGATTTAGTGCTTGTGCAATGGAAACATACGAATGGGTCAAATCTCACCTGGGAAACGGAGAGTGACATGATGAGTCGCTACCCGCATTTGTTTGCTGATGTGTGATTCTGGAGACGGAATCATCCTAAGGGGAGAGAATTGTAACGCTCGTGTTTCTGGGCTAAAGCATTAATAATGATGTAATAGTTTAGTTCAACCTTTGTAACTCATTTTGAAGTAATAAAGACGAATTATGTGAATATTATGTGAATTATGTGCTTATTTGCTTAATTATTACGATTTAATTAATTAATAATAAAAATAAGCGTTGAAAATAAATATTAGATAAAGCCGATATCTTTTAATAAGTTTTAGTAGTCAAAACAAGGATTCCGGAGAGATAAAGAACGCCAAAATCCGAGTTATAACGAAGAGTTATGATCTGTCGAAGTTTCGCGACAGAACCGGCACGACACTGGGAAGCATAAAAAGTGAATTTATAATAAATTTCTTTTTAGACTTAGCAATCCAAACAAAAGTCGTAGTGTTCATTAAACCGAGAGCGTACATAAAAAGAACGCCCAAATCTAACTTCGTATGAGGAAGTTATGATTTTTCTAAGTTTTAGCTTAGCAGTAAACAGCTACAAACTTAAACTTAAGATCGAGCGTTATATAGCCGACACAACCTAAACGAGAATCAAAGGTCTCGTCAATAGTGGTACAACGGTAAAAAGACAGACGAATATGGTTGTCGGATGAAGATGTTATGAATTTTTAACGGATTTTCTTGTCCCGGTCTATTAAAAATAATAATATTAAAAAGAAAGTCAAAATTAGCCAACTAAGTCTAAATAAAAATTGTAGAATATATTCCCCCCTACGCGTGCATATAAAGAATGTCAAAAACGGAGTCCGTATGCGAAAGTAATGGATTTTAGAAGTTCGGGACACATTTTCTGAGGAATTTCGCATGTGTGGCTCGGAAATGGCCACGTCACCCTCGTTCCTAGCGCGCCACGTATCCGATCTCGGTGAGTCATCAACTCGTGTAAACCACTGATTCGTCCGAAGCCGAGGTCCAATAGGAGACCGACGCGCCTCACCCCTTGTCATACTTGCGAGCCTCGCACCCCCCCCCCCCCCGCGCATGCGCGCCACCTGCCCTTCGCGTGTCCGAAGCTCGCACGAGCCACGTCTCCCCTCCGATCTGAGACTCACAGCTGCTATGTGGATCCTTCTTAGCCACTAATCCTCGGTCTCGCACCCTATAAATAGGGGGGTTGCGAGATCTTCCGGTTAGAATTAGAAATTTGCCACTATTCACCCCTAAACTTATATTTTGACTATTTTGACTTCCCCCGAAGCCCCGAAATCATTTCTAACACCCGAAACACATCCTGAAGTGCCCGAAGACCCGGAAAATTTTATCTTTTCGGTTTTGAAGCTCCAACCTTGTAGAGCCCGATTTTTTATTAAAGCCCTCGGTTTTATCATAAACGATCATTTTAGGAAACGAAGTGCTGCCCGATTATCATTAAATCAAGTGAGTGTATAGTCACACATAGATATGAAGTATTTTATATAAATACGTGCTATGTGTGTGTGTATATATATATATATATATATATATATATATATATTGATTGTTTATTTGAGATGGTTGTTGAATGAATGTTTATACAAGTTTTAAAATGATTTAAACTATATATATATATATATATATATATATATATATATATATATATATATATTATCTACAAATATGTTGGGTATAACATGGATAGATGAAATAGTTGGTGTGTGATAAATTGATGAGAGGCCTCGATGTTGTTGTTGTTCCTGTCATCTAGCGGAGTATGGATGACGACCATAGACTCTTCTAGACAGCCCAGTGGAACGCTAGCAGGCTCGCAACCTGTAGGTGTTTGTGGGCTTGATGTTCATCGATGTACTCCATCCCCCTCATGGTTGCCTTACGGACATATATGGCTGAGGAATCCCCTTAGCAGTAAAGTCCATCCCGATGATAAAATCCTTAGACTAGGTCCCTTGTATAGGTGTTTAGGGACGTAAAGTGAGGATAACGGGAATGGGTAATCAGGGTTATTGTTGGTTTGATAGAATTAATAAATTGATTGTTGATTAGTGTAATTAATAAATTTATTATTATTTGTGGGTTAAAAACCCTATATGCTCACCAAGCTCCCAAGCCTGGCCAATTCAGCTTTCTATTTTACAGGTAGTGGACCCAAAGCATAATTTGGATGATGATGAGGGATTTTTGGATTATAGGCCAGTAGTTGTAAATAATTGTTGTAAGGCTTATAATGTACTGTTTATGCTTTGGATCTGTATCGAACATGACATCCCGAGTCTTTTTAATGAGATACATTTGTACGGAAATGCTTTGATAAATCTTTATCATATTTTATTTTGGGAACAAATTCCGCAACACTTTTAATCAAATGATTACTCTGATTTTATTATAAATGCATAAACTAAATCGGTCTTTTCTAGCCATAATCTCACAAATAAGACAAGTCTTGGGCTTTTAACCTACAATTCATCAAGGGGGGCCATTTCCATAATCCATGGAGTACTTTGAACCCTACACCCTTGCTCCAAACTCTCCATTCTAATTCCTATGGATGACTTTTCAAGTAAAGTTGGTAACTTTACTAGCATGCATGGCTTAATGGGGCTCTAGAGCTGAAAAAAGCTTAATGGATGGTCTTAACACATGCATGAACTCAAAAACTCCACAAAGCTTGCACCTTTATGAATAAGGGACCCTTAAATTGTCCAAATCTACTAGATTGAGCTCCTAAAACAACCCTAGCCCACAAAGACCAAGAAAAAAGGACTAAAATGGCCATAAACCAACCCAAAAGTAGATATATGCAATGAGTAGCCAAGATAGAGACTTTATACCTCTAAAGTCTCGAAATGAAGATGCTAACACTGGATCTCTAGGATCTTCTTCAGAGGTTGAGTCTTCCAATCTTCTTCTCTTGCAAAAACCACAAAGAACCTTCTTTCAAGCTCCAAGCCTCACCCAAGGCACTCTGGGGTTTTATGTATGTCAAAAGAGGTGGTGGTTGACTTAAAATGACTAAAGGGGAGGGATAATGTTGTTTATATAGGGTAGGAATCCCTAAATTAGGGTTTTGATCTGAAGGAAGTATGCCCCACGTACCCCTTAGTACGCCCGACGTACTCACTAACCACCCGTAACCATTTAACCTTCTATGTCCCGCATACTCACTGAACCCCTACAACCCTAAATTAACTTGGCTCTAACTTCTTAGTCTTTGGTCTGATTCCAATGAACCTTATATCCATAGAAAGTTAGCGATGAGCCCTAAGCTGTTAACAACATACCTAAGCCTTAAAACCTCCCGAACAAAACCCGAAATCCATAAAAGACCTGAAATACCAAATTACAGTTATTCCCTTGACCTCGGAAGACACAATTGAACACTTGGATCACTTAGAACATAACACCCACACCCGAGTAGGGCCAAATACTTCCTTTCCCAAGGCCCTAGGCCTCATGACCGTTGAAGATTGGGCTGTAACCTTGAATAAAGAAGCAAATCTGAAACCGAGTGTTACAGTATCGGGACTAAGGGGTGGAAAGAGCTCTAGAAGATTCGGGTGGAGTTGGGATGAGAAATGAGTTGAAACTCGAGGGTTTATATATGCTTCAAAAGGGTACGCGTCGCGCACCGTCTCCCTTGCGCACCGCACATCTGGTCGGAAGTGTTGACATGTTCTTTTACAACCCAAAACTCAACTTCTTAACCAAAGTCATATACTCTTAGCCCAAAAGCCTTATATCTTTAAGGTCTATACTTCGTCCCTTAAGACCCGAGACCTTCTCTAAATTAAATTAAAGTCCAATTTCTCAAATAAGGAAACACCCCAAAACCGGATGTTACATCGAAAAATAGGTAGTACTAGGGATGAAAACAGGTCGGTGATGGGGAAGTGTTTCACATCCTCATCCCCCGTCTCCGAGTCTCTTATCTCATCCCTGCCCCATCCCCATCCCTATCGGGTGTAGGGAATCGAATCCCATCCCTTTTTAAAATTGGGCATATCATCGGTCCATCCCCGACCCATCCCCAATCATATATGTTGACATTTTCATATTACAAAAGCTATTTTTTCATACATTAAATCACAAACAATGTATTTATTTCTTTATTGACGCAACTAGTGTATCGATGAAAAACAAGAATTGATTAGTTTCTATGTAGTTTAATAACTAAGAATTAGAATAACAATAGTAATTTCTTACATTAACTTCTGAAATTGCATAATATATTACTATTAACTAGATAAAAATGTAAGTATACCATTAACTTTTACATTATTTAATAACAAAAAATTAGAATAAATAGAGAATTAATATCTTGATTACGTCTTTTAATAGCAAAAACTAGAAAATGATCTTCTCAAGCATACGACTAATGCTAATCACTCAATTTTGAGCTTAGGAAAACATTACAATTAACTAACTTTTCATAGTTTACATAACATACCAAACTATGATACAAATTATAATAGATCATGGATGCAAAATTTATAATTTAATCCTAAATAAATGGAACTATGTATTATCAATGCTAGTTTTAATACATAAAAAGAATATCTTCTTATTAAATAGGTACATATTATCCATTTGTAATATATGATAGGCGTATAATATGTAATGCGTAGCATACAACAAAAATAAAGCGGGGATGGGACGGGTTGGGGAATATGATATCCGACCCCGACCCCTCCCCGGTTTCAAGCCATACTGGGATCCCTGATCCCATATCCGAGATCCGATTTCGTGGGCAATCATCGGCCCCGATCGGGACGGGTCAACCAGGTTCCCCAACAGGTTAGGTCAATTTTTTATGTCTATGTAGTACTAGAAGTCACTTAGGACTAAACCATCTCTTTCGAGTTGGTGATCAATTTTGTTTCCAAAAATATTGGGAGACTCTCGTTATTCATGTAACTATGTAAGATAATATATCGTAGTATCATTCTTTTTTATTTGATTGCTTTTATAATATTTATCAACTTATCCTAGTATTAACGGATTTTGCTTATATATATATATATATATATATATATATATATATATATATATATATATATATATATATATATATATATATATATATATATATATATATATATATAAAAGGGTCTATTTTTATTTTTCACACACAGGCCCCTCAAAATCGATGACACATTCCTATTTGGCCACATGATAACACATGACTTTGTGGTAATTCATGTATATGTTTAAATAACCATCCAGACCAAAACTAGGATACCTGAAATATAATTTGATGGTATCATTTACATTTTCAACCATAAATTACCTAAAAAATCTGATCAGAATAAACCAGAACTCGGAAACATATACCCGATCAACAAGCTTAAAACTAACAATAGGGGATGCCCGCTGGTCATGGTGATTTTCTTTTAACTAGAAGGAAAAAATGGAAAAATAAGGGGGCTTTCATGTCGAATTGGTTGTAAACTTATTGTCTAGTGTTTATAACGTTTACTAGTATTGATATTAAGGAATTCAGGTTTTTTGAATAAAGAAATGATTATTCTTGATTATAAATTCTTATAAGTTTAAAATAACAAAATTATAGAGAATCTGATATTTAAGTTTTAATACTCATTATGTCATATGCTACTAATTCAAATTAAACTTAATTTAATTTAATGTGATAAGAAAGAAATTTTGTTAGTTTGAATAAATTCGATCAGGATCGGTCTATTGATTTTTTTTGCTCTATGCATGATTATAAAATAATGTCCATATATTTATACCGCATAATAGACCAAACATATATAAAAAAAATAAACAAAAATGCATTAAGTTTTGTAGTTCAACAAAAATCCATATTACTACAAACAAAAATTACACAAATCACCTAAAACAATGCGTTTGTTTATTAAGAAATTCTATTATTTAATAACTGTCAATACTAAAGAAGGATAGAACCTAAATTAAATATGGAGCAAAATGTGATTAAGTTACACTTAATAGTGATTTGAAGCGAATACATATATTTATAAAGTTTTTAAAATGTTTTGGGTGGAATTTACTATTTAAACAAATTTTTCTACATGCATTAGCATTATATTGAGAAACATATGTTAAAATGGCCAAGAGATTTTACATGTTTTACAAATAAAATGAATTACATGTTATTTTCCTTTTCTATGCCATATATTGATTTGAAGTTTCGAACATACAAAGGGAACTCGAAATGGATATATAAGCCATGCCAAAACTTTGAAAAAAAATTGACAGCTTCTTCTTTCATTTTGAACAATTCCAGAGCTTATTTTAATGGCGTTTTCTTTCATTTCTTGGTCATTTACAATATTTTTCATAATCTTGCAGATGTTAATCATATTATGCTGTCGTAGTTGGCATGTTAATGGATGCTATACCTCCATCTTCAGCTTCGGTGACTCTCTAGCAGACACGGGTAACTTAAAACAAGTGGCCTCCATAACCGGCCAATTCTTTCCTTTTCTTCAGCCGCCTTACGGTGAAACCTTCTTTCATAAGCCCACTGGCCGTTGCTCAGATGGCCGACTCATCATTGATTTCCTAGGTAACTCCTATGTGTGTGTAAATAATATCTACTAAACGTTTCTAAGAAGAAAATAGTACATGCACTTGGTGAATGACTATAGTTTTTTTTTGGGGTTTAATAATGAAGCTGAGAGTCTCGGGTTGCCATTGGTACGACCATTTCTGCATGACAGTGAGTGTGTCGTGTGGCCGGGACAAGGAGTTAACTATGCTGTGGTGGGAGCGACAACATTGAATTCATCGTTTCTTGAAGCAAGAGGAATTGTTAACGATTTGACAAATGCCTCTTTAGGAGTTCAGTTGGCATGGTTTAAACAATCATTAGCTTCTATTTGCAGCAACGTTTCAGGTAACAATTAAGCAGTTGTAGTTTGTAAAAGGTTCTACAGTATACCATTGCAGCCATATGCGTGCAAATATATCACTTGATATTAAATTAAGATTACGATGTTCAAACATTGTGTTATGAAAAAAGTAATCAAATACGAAATTTAACAAATAGAAACATAAATAAATCAAATTTATATACAAAGATTCACAAATCAGAAGAACATACTTGTTTTGGATGTTTACAACAGTTTCACTAATCACAAAAATAACATAAGATTGACGTCTGCTTTGCAGTGTCCTCAGACAATTCCCTGATAGGGATCTATCTAAAGAATACAACAATCTGATCTAGATTGAATCTTGGTCCTAACGAAATTATATGATCAACCATTTAATCTTTCAACTGATCATCTATTCATAGCATGTCAAATACCAGTTAAAAACTATCAACCATCATACTTGTTCTAAAACCGAAATAAACTGCCTAATTAACTTCTAATCAGTTACAAATTGTCATCCATCATACCTAACAAGGCCATCTTTGACCATTAGTTATATTTAATGACAAGCCTAATCCAAGACTAGTTTGATAGCCCAACACCACAATTCTATCCCAAATGCCTTTTTGTCTTACTTTATCCATTTAATAATATGTGGAGACAAAAGCTTATAAAGCCAGTTAAGGTTCTTTCTTTCTCCAATGTGGGATAATGCTTTTAAGCTATAAGCAAAGTTCCAGCACATCGTTCAGTGTTTTTAATTGTTGGCAGATTGTAGAAACTTAATTGGAAGTTCTTTAATCTTAGTTGGAGAGATTGGTGGAAACGATTACAACTTTCCGATAACAGATGGAAAGCCCATTGATGAGGTCGAACCATTCGTTCCTCTAGTAACTGATACCATCATCTCGGTTGTCGATGTAATTAGAAGCCACTCAACTCATACAAAACACATTTTAAATCATCAACAACAACACTACGCCCAAGTTAAAATGTCTTTCAAATACAGGAATTAATTGAGATGGGGGCACAAACACTAGTCGTTCCAGGAGAATTTCCACTTGGATGTTCTTCTCAATATTTAACAATACGTGGTTCGGAAAGTGAAGAGTATGATAACACAACAGGATGCCTCATCAAGTTCAATAAATTTGCTGAATACCACAATGAACTGCTACAATTGAAACTAAATCAGCTTCGAGAGCTTCATCCCAATGTCGTCATCATCTACGCTGACTACTACAATGCTGCCATGCAATTTATCCGTTCTCCTGATAAATTTGGTGCACAATATATATGTGTTCATAAACTAACTTGAATCATTTTATGTGTCTCAAATACTAATGTGATTTCATGTCTATATTGTCCATTAATGGCATTGTAGGATTTACAAATGGTGCTCTGAAGGCATGTTGTGGACTTGGAGGTCTGTATAACTACAATAGATCATCTGAATGTGGATTACCGTATGTGACTGTGTGTGATGATCCAAATACATATGCTATGTGGGATGGAATACACTACACAGAAGCAGCATACAAAATAATTTCTAATGGTTTATTTCATGGGCCATACACTCAGCCCCAGTTTAATTTAGTGTGCCCATTTCATTCATTGGTGAGCTCATAAGAATACGTATGCTAATATGTAATCTTGATGTTTCCTCAAATTCAATATTAAAACATCAGTTTAAATAAGATTGATAACATTGCATAATAAGGTTTTACATTTCCAATAATAGATCGATGAGTCTTGATATGATGTTTACATTAGTTAAAGATGATTGGTATGCATAAGTTTCATATATATATATATATATATATATATAATATATATATATATATATATATATATATATATATATATATATATATATATATATATAAGGTCTTAACATTTCGAATAACAAATCGATGAGTTTTGATATGATGTTTACATTAGTTAAAGATGATTGATAACAATACATAAGTATCATATATATATATATATATATATATATATATATATATATATATATATATATATATATATATAAGGGAAAGTTCACTTGATATTGAAAAAAATAAAGATCTTGAGATTCAACGTTAGCCACATATTTCTCATTTATCACTCTAATGCTCCAGTGTACCGACAGCAACGGGTATGCCTAATCATAAACAATTATATGGAAGAAAGATATAATCATATATGATTATACATGTTTATACATATATGTATAATCATAAATGATTATACATATATGTTTGTTAACAGATTGAGTAATCATATATGATTATAATGGTTAGTAGCAGAAGATGTGGTGGTGATAGAGGTGGCGGTGGTATAAGTGAGGGAGGTAGTAGTGGTGGGGTCGGCTGGTGGCGGAGGTTGTGGTAGTTGTAACATCCATAAAAATCATGCCAAATTTAATCTTTTTCAAAACATTAATTATTAAAAAACTTGTTTTCAAAATAGTGTAGTATCAGAGTATCCAAAAAACAAGGCATAAACATGAGGAGTTGTACGATCACGCCTTTGCCTTCCTGCAATCATCTGATGTACCTGAAATAAAAACTAGGGATGTCAAAAAGTCCCGTGGGGGCCCCGTCCCGTTTGGGGGATTTTTTTAAGAAAAAATGGGGGCGAGGATGGGGGCGGGGCAAGGTTAACCCCCGTTTTAATTTCGGGGGCGGGGGCGGGGGTAGGCAATCCCGTCTCGAAATCCCCATGGGGACCCCGTTAATAAATTACATATATATATATATATATATATATATATATATATATATATATATATATATATATATATATATATTTATATATATTAATTATATAAATATAATAAACAATAACACGATTTTGAGCTTCCAAAATTCATCAAAAAAAACATGTTTTTAAGTTGTTAGTATAATTTTTTAAAATGTCATAACTTTTTTTATTGTTAACATATAAAATTCTGCTCTAAGTAATTATTTGTTACCTAAAAAATAGTTTCTTTTATTATAAATAACAATTTCTTTTAGCCCAAAATCAATCGGGGGCGGGGGAACGGGGGTAATAAAGGGGATTCGGGGGCGGGGGTGGGGGTAGGAAGGTTGAACATTCTGGGGGTGGGGACGGGGGCGGGATAATGGGAAAATTTCGGGGGTGGGGGCGGGAGATGCACTCCCCGCCCCGTTTTCCCCCGTTGACATCCCTAATAAAAACTGAAACTGTAAGTCCAAAGCTTAGTGAGTTCCCCCAAAAAACTGATACACTGCACATAACACATATACAAATAACAGCATGTACTAGGTCCACAGCTTTACAGACTGGATTAACCCTAGGCCCATAGTATGAGTCTGGATTGCCTTCCGGGCCCACAACTCACATCTGGATTGTCATCGAGCACATAGTACGAGTCTGGTATTCCCCACCCAGCCCTCAGCTCATATCTGGAATGCTCCCAAGTCCTCAGTATGAGTCTGGCATGCCCCGCCCGACGCTAAGCTCATATCTGGAATACTCTAGGGTTTGTAGGCTACCGCATGGAGCAGTATAACCTCAACCCAACCTACATAATATGTCGATATATAGCACAACTCATGCGCATACAGATAATCACATAATAATACAAGTAGTCCTACAGATCTACCAAACTATCACAGCAACTAGCATACAACACTAACTCATACTCAACATACTACCAACTGCTAGGATAATATATCCTCACTATAACTCACCTCTCAACTATCAAATCGAAGTGATAACTCAAACTCTCGAACCACGGCCATGAACTCCACCACCTATAGTTACCATAATATCATTTCCATAAATTTCCAATTTACCACACTACCCAGAAGTCAACTAGTCAGCCTTGGTCAAAGTCCAAGTCAATGGTCAAGGGCAACAGTCCATGTTGACCTGACTCATCGAGTGCAGTTCACCGACTCATCGAGTCCTTCTTGAACTCGAGAAATCGTTAATTCCCCAGATGAATCGTCGAGTTTCCCTGAAACTCGCCGAGTTCATGGATGTTCAAATGTCAGGAAAACCCTAGCTAACTCGCCGAGTCACTCTACTGACTCATCGAGTCCATGCAGAAATCCTTGCATGGTAATCTTCATCGGACTCGCCGAGTTGGCCATGCAACTCGTCGAGTCCCTTCAGTCCTTTCTCCATCCTGACGATTTTTAAGCCACATTAAAGCTCCATAATGCAAATCTAATCTCCTAAGGAATACTTCTTACGTAAAGTTGCAAACTTTACATACGTGCAAGGTAATTGTGGCTCAAATCAAGCTAAAGAAAGGTTGTAGGCAAGGGAAATACTTTAGCATGCTAAAGGCTGAAACTTTATGATTTTAAGGACCAAAATGAGCCTAGATCTGAAGTTGCAACTTCAGATCTTGGTTCACTACTCAAAATGTAACACCAACATGCTAAAATGGCCCTTAAACCCAAATATAGAAGGATATAGCTAGAATGAGATCAAGATAACGACTTTATACCTTCAAATGATGCTAAACTAGGGTAGACTTCAGATCCTCACACGTTCCTTGCCTCAAACTTCTTGATCTTCAAGCTCCTCTCACCAAGATCCACCTCCCAAGCTTAAAACACACAAGTATGGAGAGAAACCAGCGATTTAGGGTTTCTGGACTCACAAGGGGTAGTAAGGGAGGCTAATGAGCCTTTAAATAGGGTGCAAACCCCCAGAAATTAGGGCTTCATCCTTCAGCTCTAACTCGTCGAGTCATGTCTCCGACTTGGCGAGTTTGTCATTTAAACATGTGGCCCCAAAAGTTCCTACTCGACGAGTCATGGCATCCAACTCGTCGAGTAGACTTTTCAATATGAAAAATAAAGCTGTAAAATTAATACCTGAGAGTCGGGGCGTTACAGTAGTGGTGGTGGTAGTGGCGGTGGTTGTGGTGGGGAAGGTGGTGAAGGTGAAAGGAACGAGCGACACTACATAATCATTTATGATTATAATTGACCCACTGCGCCAATACGCCGGAGAGTTAGAGCGGCATATGTGAATTATGTGGCTGATGTTGAATCTCAAGATCTCTATTTTATTTTGAATCTCAATTGAACATATATATATATATATATATATATATATATATATATATATATATATATATATATATATATATATATATATATATTAAAAGAAGTCATTCAAATGAATTTCGTTCAAGATAGTCTATATATCTTGAACCATATTCAATTGAATATCTCAAATTATTCAACTTAGGTTACTTGAATGATAATACAACTCAAGAGTCTTTTAACTTATAATATTTAATCGGTACTTATGACACATGATTTGTTATTATATATATATATATATATATATATATATATATATATATATATATATATATATATATATGATCGTATTGATAGACTTTGGAGAATAATATAGAGAGAAATATGATTTGAGATCACACAAATATCTATTTGTGGTGCATTTATTTATATTGAACGAGAAAGTGGGAGGTACAAATTTTGAAGATGTCAATTTGTATAAGCTAAGTTATTTGTTAATAGTTTTTATTATATTTATGTGGACATTCTTAAAAGTTGTTGTATGTAAGTAACAAGAGTTTGATGGTTTCTTTTATTATATATTATATATATATATATATATATATATATATATATATATATATATATATATATATATATATATATATATATATATAGTTCTTATATATTATTTATTGAGAAAAAATATAGAATTATTTTTTTTGTACCATAGATAAATCATTCCTCTTCAACCACACTATTTACCTTTTAAGATAACATACAAATTTTTATTAGTCTAAATATGTTGTTTTATGTAAAATACTATCATTTTAATGTCATAACTATTAAACTATTGATATAATATACTTAATTTTATAATATGTTGCAATCACATTATATATTTATGTGATTGTTGCAAACTAAAATTCTACACAGTCTTGAGTTTGTACGTAGTTATGGAATTGTATATAACTCTGTATTATATATTTCATTAATATATTCATTTATTCGTAGAGAAAAAATAACATACACTACTATATAAATACATACACACAAAATAACGTAGTTATATATATGTTATCTCAAATATATAACTTTGTATTATATATTTGATTAATATGTTCTTCAAAAAAATTACATACACTTTTAGATAATTAAATACAAACAAAATATTAGAGACGGCATAATTAAGTTTCGAATAACTGGGTTAAAGGATTTTGATATAATATTTGATGCAGATGTTATATAATTACACGAGTAAACAAGATTTATAAATTTTAATCATATTTAATTAAGTGTCAAAAGTATTCATTAAGTACAATGAATTAAAAACTTCTTTGAATTTAATCTTAAATAACCTTTACTTGGAATTTGAAAAGTTGGAATATTAAAATAACACTTCAACACAATTAACAATTTTCGGTTACATTAATATGGCTATATATATATATATATATATATATATATATATATATATATATATATATATATATATATATATATATATATATATATATATATATATATATATATATATATATATATATATATATATATATATATATATATATATTAGACGAATACCCGCGCGTTGCGCAGAAATACGTATATAGTTGAATTTTTTACAAATATATGTTTTTTATAA